GGGACACAGAAAATAGGGAGGTGAAGGGTAGGGGGGGGGAGGGGGGGCGGGAGGGAGAGGGCCAATGGGAGTAAAGAGGGACATGTGTAATATTTTCAACAATAAAGAATTTTAAAAAAACACATAAAAAACAGGGAATCATTTGGAGGCTCTGGATTGGATTAATTCAATTTACATTATTTCTAATGGGAAAAAATGATTCCGTTTTGAACAGCCTTCTGGAACAAATTCAAGAAACGAGGTTCCACTGTAATTCAAATTCCATAACCAGGTATGCAAAACTGTTCACAATTTGGCCTCGATCTGCTTTTATAGCTTCATCTCCTACAAGTCTCCTACTCTCACTTTCATATTTTGTCTTTAATCACATTTGTGCCCTTTGCCTAAAATGTCCTTTCTCTGCATGCCCACCTATATAATCCCAAGTTATCTTCCAGGAACATCCCCGATAAGCCCAACCCCTCGAACTCAAATCCCCTTCACAGTGTTCTTGTATTGCTCTGAAGAGACCTCTATTTGTCTACTTAAATGCATCACTGGCTCATATGTCTGTATTCTGGTAGAGGGTGAGCCACAGGTTAATTGGGAGCTTTGTCTTACTCCTCTTTTCAGTTTGGTACATAATAGGTCTAAATGTATGTTTAGCAACAAATTAATCAAAGAAGGAATAAATGTAAATGGAAACATGCTGTCTTGATTCTGAGCTCCCTTTTAGAGATGAGGCTCACTTCCAGCTTTATCTCCTCCAACAAGCCTCTCAAATGCTTTAGATCACAGTGCAGTGGCACACTGAAGAGGGAGCATCTTTTCTGGTTGATGGGACACAGTTCAGCATTTAAATGCTCTTTATTGCACTTGTGTGAATCCTGCCCACCCAAAGACGTGACACAGGAAACTAAATCAAACACTAGTTCTTACAGTTTTCTTGCACTCACTACATACTTAGGTACATATCTCCCACAACACTTGGACCAATATTTATTCAGAGAAGATTCTGATAAATATTTTAGAGCAGGGCTTGGCAAACTTTTCCTGTAAAAGGAGAGATAACAAATTAGGCTTGGTGGGTCACAAGGTCTGTGTTGCTACTACTAAACTCTTCTGCTGTAGTACACAAGCAGCCACAGACAATATATAACACATGACCATGGCAGAGTTCCAATAAAACTTTATTTAAGGTCAATAAAATCTGAATATATAATTTTCAGGTGTCACGAAATGAGTGTTGTTTTGATCTTTTTTTCAATCATTTAAAAACAATACAGACATCTTTAGTTAGTGGGCAATACAAAAACAAGAAGCAGGCCAGAGGTGGCCCACAGGTGATAGTTTGCCAATCCTGCTTTAGATACACACATCGATCTATATTGTAAGACAATTCTGCCATCAAATTCTCAAGTAAAATATTAACACACATATCACAATACCTGCGTTCAGCACGCTCTTTCTTCTTTAAGGCAACATCCAAATCCTGCAATTGTTCCTCTAATTTCTCACACAGTAGTTTCTGAAACAGCCAAACAGATGAACATAATTTTAACACCTTTCCACAATCATTTGTCACTTGCATGTTAACTTGTGGATAGTTATGCTATAAGAGCTGATAAGGGGCCACATATGGGTGAACACTGAAATGTCCTCGTGTTTGATTAAATAAAGTGGTGCCCTCAACATTCATTGAACTGAAGATGAGCACAGTATCGTTCATGTAAAGCACATATTAGAGAAACTTAGAACCTTGCCAGAAAACACATTCATGCCTTCCTTGTGGGCAGAAATCAATGTTTAAAATAGTATTTGGTTCAACGTGTATACATAATAGTGATTTAAAATTTTTTTTAAATCTCAAAACATTTTTAAGGGAGAGAGTTATATGCACAATGAAATATAATGGTGCCAATAATCACTAGTTTTAAAAAAGAGAAAGAAAAACTTTACAAAACCATGCCACATGATTACTGGGACCGAACAGAACTGAAGAATTTTAACTGATAAAGCTATGCTAAGCCACAGAAGTCCACTTCACTGAAAAATGCAATACAGCCCATTATTTTTAAACCAAAATGAGACTGGGCTTGTGAGAGAAAGGACCCCTTGGGCACAGTGCACAAAAATATCCTGTTCTTCAACTTAAAGAAATAATTCACCTGATTCAAAATAAGAGATAAAGAGAATCCATATTTCTATTCATAGACCATCATAATGGTATATAATTCATGAAACCATCTACAAAACTACTGACAAAGGGAGGCAGAAAGAAATGAAAAGGAGGATGACACAAAGGGATACATAATATGAAGAAACTATTTCTTAGCTTGTATATTATCTTAATTTGGGGCTCTTTGTGCCTTTAACAAATGTGAAGGGGGAGGAGAGACTATAATTTTACAAAAATTACAGATCTTCTGAGAATTGCTTTTTAAAAAAAATTAAGGGAAGACCTAAGAGATAATAGTAAAGGGTAGCCTTTTCAATAGTTTCTAATTTCACAGAAATTTAAACAAAAGGTAAACGATATTTACAAATTGTTTTGAAGATATAAAATGTTTAGCAACTGTCAAGAAGTATTACTAATTTGACTATAAAACCACAGACTGGAAAAAGAGATGTGTGCTGGATCATACATGTTGGCAAGGGGGGCAGAACCATTCTCCATCAGGGATGATCATCAGAGGAGGGCGAAGGCAGGCAGTGTGGTAGCCACTGTCACAAGAGTCGCACAGAAGAATCTGAAATAAACCAGATATTAAGACCAACCTAACTCCATGACTAAAATTCAGTGACTTGAGTTAAAATAAAGATATTTCTTAGCACTATAATAAGAAATATACTATACTCTTTATTTGCATAATAAAAAAGCTCTGATAATTAGGGATCTAATATGCCATTAAAAAATAATAAAAAATAAAAAACTAAGAAAATGATAAACTATAAAATTAAGTGAAAAGTAGCAAGTTCTTTCTGAACTAGAGTTACAATTCTTTTCCAATGTGCCATGAGGGCTGCAACAATAAAGTTTTTATAAAAGAGTTTATATAAAGCGCAAGCATCACAAACTACCCTACCATACACAGGAATTTAAAAATCTACTTTAAATAGCATTTCAATTAGCAATCTGTAAGAATCATTCATGGTTCACTTTATCATATAAATTTAAATGTAGAAGGAACTGTAGGAAGAGGGGAAAGGAACTATTCTTAGGATCATCATGTTCAAATACAAAGTCTTAAATTGATGTTTTTTGTTATTTGATTTAAGATGACCAAGTCTCTAAAATTTAAAATGGTACATTTATGAACATTTGACTTAAAAAAACTTTTCAGTTTTAAATTTTTTTTTAGATTTACCGAAAAGTTACAAAGATAGTAGAGTTCCCATAAACTCTTTACTCAGCTTCCACTACTGTTAACATCTTACATAATCACGGTATATTTACCAAAACTAAGAAATCAACATCAGTACAATATTATTAACTCAACAACAGACTTTATACTTCGAAGAATACTAGTCAGATATTATATAGACTCCCCTCAACCTGGGTTTGTCTGATACCTTCTGTTGATTAGACTGAAGTTACGGATTTTGGAGAAAAATCCCACAAAGATGAAGTGCCCTGCTCACTGTGTCATATCTGGGGATACATGATATCAATCTGACTAATTACTGGTGATAATTAACCTTGATCACTTGGTTCCAGTAGTTGGTTTTCATCACTTTAAAGTTACTAATTTTCACTTTCCATACTTTGGTCTCATTAGAAGTGATAAGCCCAGCCCATACTCAAGGGAAGGGGAATTAAGCTCCATTATCTAGAGCAGTGGTTCTCAACCTTCTGGCCCTTTAAATACAGTTCCTCATGTTGTGACCCAACCATAAAATTATTTTCATTGCTACTTCATAACTGCAATGTTGCTACTGTTATGAATCGTAATGTAAATATCTGATATGCAGTATGGTCTTAGGCGACCCCTGTGAAAGGGTCGTTCGACCGCCAAAGGGGTCGTGACCCACAGGTTGAGAACCGCTGATCTAGAGGAAGGAGTTATCAACGAATTTGTCGACAGAAGATAAAACTTACACAACAATGAATAATATGTTGAAGCTACGCAAATATACTGTTTTTCTTTCAGGTTTCACCCACTAGTTTTAGTACTTGCTTACAATAGTTACTACTGTGGTGTTCTAATGGTGATTCTCTATTTTCTTCATGCCTTCTACATTTGTTATTTGGAATTCTTCTGTAAAGAAATTATGCCCCTTATCCCACATTTACTCGTTTATTCAATTATGTATTTATATCAAGGTGAACTAATGAATATTTATTTTATTCTTTGGGTTATAATATAAAATTACTACTTGTCAAATTCAAATTGTTCTAGCTATGGACACACTGGGAGCTCCAGGTTGGCTGTGTCATTTACCTCTTTTTTTTTTTAAATATATTTTTATTGATTTCAGAGAGGAAGGGAGAGGGAGAGAGATTGAGGGGGAGAAAGAGAGAGAGAGAGAGAGAGAGAGAGAAACATCAATGATGAGAGAGAATCATTGACTGGCTGCTTCCTGCACGCCCCCTACTGGGAATCAAGCCCGCAACCCAGGCATGTGCACTTGACCAGAACTGAACCCACAGGCCGACGCTCTGTCCACTGAGCCAAACCAGCTAGGGCTGCATCTTTTTTTTTTTTTTGAAGCATTTCCTTACTTCCCAGCACTATAGGATACTCCACACATTTATCTATTTATATAAAAGGCTAATATGCTAAGTGTCTGACCATCCAACCGGTCGCTATGACACACCCTGACCACCAGGGGCTGCCAACATAGGAGCTACCGAGCTGCAGTGACTTGGCAGCGGCAGTTCTCAGGTGACACACCCCAAAACCAGAGAGGAGGGAACCCAATTCCTCGCGGGGTTGTGCAATCCCACCTTTGGCTGTGGGTTATGTTGTTGCTGGGGCACTGTTACCCTGAATCTGGTTTACTGCACACTTGCGTTTGTGTTCCACACCCTGTATGCAGCAACTTTGCAGAGTGCCCTCTTGCACTCTGGGACCCCTCAGGGGATGTTGGAGGCCGGTTTTGTCCTAATCCCCGCAGGCCAAACCAAGGTACCCCACCTGCCGGAGCGACCCCACTCATTCCGAAGACGTCCTTTGAGCCATGGCGTCACCCCAGGTGCAGCCGGCCGGGGAGGAACCGCAGGAGGTTGGCTCCAGGGCATGTCTTGTCCGTCTTGCTCAGTCCCACCCCGCAGGCCACCTTCTAATTAATTTCCTTTCAATGTGCACGAATCCATGCACCAGGTCACTAGTATCTTATATTTTCTCTACCCAAGCCTAAGAATTAGCCATTTCTCCCAAAAACCCTGGTTCCTTTAATGGAAAATGGTATTTAGAAACCAAAATTTGAATGCTGAGTGCTCACTGCTAATGGTTATCACTGCTTCTAAATTGTCTCAGAGAACAGAGCTAGGAAATACATATATGTATAGCAATCCATATGCACACATGTCTATATTGAAATAAGTATAAGTTTATACTATTATCTCCAGCTCTAATCCAGCACCATAGAGTTTATTCTAGCCTTCAGCCTTGCTTATCTGTAACTACTTTCTCTGACAATGAGAAACTTGCTTCTATTATCTACACTTCATTCACTTATTCAAACCCAGTATATATGTAAAGTAATTTCTAAATTGCTAACATATACTATGGTGGCTGAAGGAAGGAGGGTGGAATATGTACACATGTGCAGTGATTTAAAATTGAAAAAGTATCCTCCCCCTTCTTCAAATAGTGTATCACCATTTGCTGCCAATACCAGAATTCAATACTTCAGTTATATGACTAATACGTAGATAATTTGATTACATATGTAGACAAACCTGGGCACCTGATACCATTTATCAAATTGCTTCTACATTAAAGCATAATCTAAATTTCAAATAACAAAATTACATTTTTAGAAATCAATTTATCTCTAAAACAATAATTATCTCTATTCCTCAATGAAGGTAAAATCCCATTAAAATAAATATTACTATGCAAGATTTCCAAGCCTCAAGCAATCCATGTATTTTGACTACAGCATCTGGATTCTACACTAATTTATAAATTTACTGCTTTTTTGCAGTAAGCTCAATGAGGACAAGGACCATGTCTTTCTAATTCAGACTCATTTCCCTACCACTTAACACATAATAATTGCTTGGCAGTTTAAGATTATCCTTAAACAAATGGCATAAGAAATCTGCATTTAGGATCTCCAGTTTCCAATTGATATTCCCTTTTGGCACAGTAACCAGCAACGGGATTTTTAGAGCAGTTGTTAAGAAAACTGACTAAATAAAAATTCTGTGTGTGCCAAGGAAGGTGCAACTTCATCTTCTCGATGTCATTTCTGCTCACCTCATTTCCTCACTTCTCATTTCCTCACACCCGTTTGCCATCGACATCTATGGCTGCCTCAGTTAAAATGCATTCTTAGTTTAAAAAGATATTAGGCCCTACCTAGTGTGGCTCAGTGGATAGAGCATTGGCCTGCAGACTGAAGGGTCCTGGGTTCCATTACGGTCAAGGGCACATACCAGGGTTGCGAGCTCAATCCCCAGTAGGGGGCGTGCAGGAGGCAGCTGACCAATGATTCTCTCTCATCATTGATGTTTTTACCTCTTTCTCCCTCTCCCTTCCTCTCTGGAAGAAAAAAAAAAAAGATATTAAGAGCCCTGGCGGGTTTGGCTCAGTGGTTAGCATGTAGGCCCACAGAACAAAGGGTCATGGGTTCGATTCCCAGTCAAGGGCATGTACCTGGGTTGCAGGCTCAATCCCTGGCCTGGTCGAGGTATGTGCGGAGGCAACCAATGTGTCTCTCTCACATCAATGCTTCTCTCTTTCTCCCTCCCTCTCTCTCTCTCCTCCCTTCCCTTCCACTCTAACAGCAATGGAAAAATATCCTTAGGTGAGGATTAAAAAAAAAAAAAAGGATATTAGGAAACAACAGAAAAAGAGTACAAGTGTTGATTTTCACTTGCTTTAAAGGGCAGAAAAGACTACTATCTCATATCTTCTTTTGGCTTTCCTCCACACAAAAATCTTGACCTAACTTTCACAGCCTGATGATCATAAAAATGCTTAGAAGGGTCTTATCAGAGTAATTTCAGCATCTACTCTCCTCTTATATCTTTTACTTGAACCCTCTGAAACTACTAGGATATGATAAACTTCACTGATTAAGTTTCCATATATGAGTTCAACATTAAGAAAAAAAACAAGTAAACCACAAAAAACTTTAACTCAACACATAACAGATGTGCTGGCCAACTTTACATAACATTAAAAGCAACCCTCAGAAGAAGTATGTGGTATTATTCCTATTTATATAATGAAGATATCAAGATACAGAGAAGAGAGCACCTGATAAGTGGTGGAAGCAGGATCTGCTGCCAAGTCTGTCTGGTCCATGCTTTTCCCATCACACCACACTGCTTTCTAGGAAAAAAGAGCCTTGGAGAACCACTTCATATGAATTTTCCAAACTTTAGAGGATCTCAAAACGTTTCTGATCCACACAATTCTACCCATGTGGAATCCTCTTTCTTTACATTTCCTTCTATTTAATAGTTGGAGCCTGCATTTAAAGTCAAATGTACTCAAAAGAACAGAATAGTTGCATAGAATTGGGCATATCAAGAGTGTTTCTTCAATAGGCTCTTTAGAAAGCACTATGAATTGCAGAAATCCTATATAATAAAAGGCTAATATACAAACTGACTGAACGGTGGAATGACCGGTCACTATGACGCACACTGACCACCAGGGTGCAGACACTTAATGCAGGAGCTGCCCTCTGGTGGTCAGTGCGCTCCCACAGGGGAGTGCTGCTCAGCCAGAAGCAGTGGCGAGCACAGCGGCAATGGCAGGGGCCTCTCCCGCCTCCGTGGCAGCACTAAGGATGTCCTACTGACGGCTTAGGCCCAGCACTCGGACATCCCCCGAGGGCTCGCGGACTGCGAGAGGGCGCAGGCTAGGCTGAGGGACGACCCCCCTCCCCCGCCCCCCGAGTGCACGAATCTCGTGCATTGGGCCTCCAGTATATATATATGTAGGAACTGGTTTTCGTGATTTAGGTTACTTACTTCCTGGGTAAGAAAGTTCCATGTAAATTGGTCACTATTCTTCTGAAATTATATCTGAATATATTTGTGCTCTTAAATGTTTTTTAGAATTGCCCATTTCCTAAAGATGTAAGTCCTACCAGGTTAACTACTTGAGTTATACATTGTTACAGCAAGGCAATAAGATCTCAGGCCTTACTTATTAACAGCTGGCACTTCAGAACAGAACAGAAATATTTGAATAATTTCATAGATTTGTGAGAGAAATTAGGAGTGTATTCTTATTAAGAGGAAATAACAACAGCTAGCTAGGCAGAATAAAAGCAGGATCCTGACCTTCCCAGAACTGGGTTATTTAAGAAATAGAAATAAAGGTTATTTGGTACACACAAGCTCTGCAGCATTAAAAAATTTAAATCATGATCAAGCCTAGAAGAGTTAGGCTTTGGAAAACCATAGCATGCCAGTAAGGTGAATATTACGCACTAGCTCAGGATGGTTTGGAAGGCCACATTTTTTGCAGGGTTCATCATCCTCCGCTAGGACGGCTTCTTCACTCTCTTTTGCTCCCTCCTCTTCTGAAGCTGCAGATGATTTCTCACTGTCAGACCCTTCACTTTCATCGTTGCTGGAATATTTCCACCTGCCACGTGTTCGAGAACCAGTCCATCGAACTTTGCCTTTGGTTTTTACCTTGAATAAAATAAAAAATTGATATAATTTGTATAAGAATGTAAAAAGAAAAACTATTATATGTTCCTTGCAGAATATTTAGTCAATACATAAAGAAAAGGAAAATTATTGTAGCATCTTCACAGATATACCTACTATTTAATTTTGATATACATTCCCACTATGTTTTCTATTTTGGAGGGTATTATGATAAACACTGTCTTATAAATATTTTCCCTAGTCATAAAATATTCTCCTAACATCACTGTAAATGACTATATAATATGCCATCGTGTAGTTGTATTTCTCTAGTCCTCTACTAGACAGACATTTAGGTAGTTTCCCATTTTTTCAACTGTATCCTTGTAAATATAAACTTTTACACATAGCTCTGTAGTTAGGATAAATTCCTCGAAGAGAATTCTGGGTCAAAGGCCATGCACATTTTAAAGGCTCTATAATAGAGCACTATATTCTCACATTTTATTATACAAAGTTTTAAATTTCCACATCAGAGATTAATATAACAAATTTTAATGGTTCAGAAATGCACATAAAAATTCTGACAAACTTAAAAAATATATTATTCAGAGTAAGTTTATAATGTTGTAAATTGCTTTTTACTTACTGGTAGCACAATTTTTATATATTTTTATTCATTTCAGAGAGGAAGGGAGAGGGAGAGATAGAAACATCAATGATGAGAATCATTGATTGGCTGCCTCTTGCATGACCCCTACTGGGGATCGAGCCCGCAACCAGGGCATGTGCCCTTGACTAAAATTAAACCCGGGACCCGACCCTTCAGTTCAGAGGCCATACTCTATTCACTGTGCCAAACCAGCTAGGCCACAATTTTTAAATTTATATTTTAATTAATTTGTACAGTATAAGTCCTTATCAAAGACCAACATAATTCTAGCAGAAGGGGAAATTTTTTCAAAGTAAAGAATTAAAAATTCAGTATTCCAGGCAATAGAGGATCACTTACAAAGATGAACAATCTGATCACTAAGTAAATTAAAAACGAAAGTAGCACTTTTAATTATAACAAACTTCCATAGACTAGCCAAAGACTGGTACCAAATTTTGCTTAAATAAGAGAGACATCAGAAAAAAATTCTGGCTTCTTAAACTAATATTTTATATTGGGGAATATAGGCACTTTCATACCCGTCATGAGAGGGTACATAACGGGGCCATTTTTAGAAATGTGTCAATAACTGTCAAAAAATAAAATATACATGCCCCTTGACCCAGCAAATCCAATTCTAGGAGTCTATTCTAAAGAAATACTCACTCATGTCCAAAATGATCTTCAAAGCAGCATTGCCTGCAATAGTGAAAAATTGGAAACAACCTAAATGTCAATCAATAAGGGAGGAGTCAAAGAAACTGAGTTATATCTACACTATGGAATACTATGTGGCCATTAATAACCAAAACGTAGACTATATCTTACTGATGTGGAAAGAGTTCAAATATACACTGTTAAGTGAAAAACTCAGATAAAAATGAACATATTTGATTCAATTTATTTTTTAAGTGAATAGATATTTATGAACATACACAGTAATGTATGGAAAAAGAATTAAAAACTAACTGCTACTAATGTTTATAGGACATTTTCATTTTTCAATCCTATAGGTTGGGTATTACTTGAGTAACTTGCAGAAAGAACATATTCCTTTGTTGCCTGTAATAAAGAAAAAGTTTAAACGATAATTAGACAGTCGGAAATAAAATGTCTGGGGATAACTACTAAGAAAAGACATCTCAGATATAGGAAGATATGTGTGTCTTTAAAGTTTTCTTTGAATGACTTTAGTCAAAAGCAAAAGCTACAAATACCTACAGCCAAATATTTCTAATAAAAATTAAATCTCAAAGTAGGAGAAATTTTACCTTGCTTACTTTAGAATTTATATCTTTCTCCGTTTTTTTCAAATTTTCTTTTTTGTCTGTTTTTTGCAAAGCTGTTGACTCCTCGTCCACTTCATCTTCTCCTTCCCCTCTTTTTTTATCAGCTTTCTGATCTCTGATCTCAGCCACTTTGGCTGTGGGTCTAGATATTCTTGGAGACCTCCTTAAAGTACGACCCACATTTGTTTTCTCTTCTTCTTTTTCGGACTTCTCTTGCTTGGTTTCTGGTTCTAGAATTTGGGGAGGAGATTCTGGCTTCTTCTTCCGACTGGATATCCTAATTGTTAATTTGATGCCCTCCTTTTGCCTTTCAGAGGTTATCTCTGTGTTCTCTGGGGCAGTGGTTTCTTCCTCAGGAATCAACTTATATTTGAATTTGTTTTTTTGCATAGAACCTTTTGTGTCAGAAGGGTCCTCTGCACCAGAGGTCTGGGCATTGTCCAGGTTGTCCATTTCTACTACCTCCATGGATTCAGAATCCGCTTTCAGAACTTCTGAGTCTGTTTTTTGCAGGGACTGACCCTCAACAGAACTTGTGCTCTGACACTCCACCATATCTTTTTCTGAGGCTAGTTTCTCACAATGCCCAGCCATGTCAGACAGCGAGGAAGTTTCAGCTGCCGCAGGAGAGCCCAGCGTTACTGATTCCAGAGGACTCTTAGGAACCTCCTCTGGTATTGGACTCAATCTTTGTGGGTCCTTGTCAAGAAAGGTCTTTTTGGACTTCTCTAACTTTTCAAGACATTCTATGACTGGTGGGCGCTTATCCTTATTTTTGGGAGACTTCTCTTCAACTTTCATGGTATGGGATTCAGCAGTAGATAAAGCAGTTTTTAAAGAGAGATCAGTTGCCATCTCAGAAGCCTCGAGAGAGGTTTCCATTTCTGGAGGACCAGTTTCCTCTGTCTGTTCTTTTGGACTCTGGGTCTCTACAACTGATACTGAACTTTCTGCATCTTTCCCCAAAGGGACTACTTCTTTCTCCAGGTCACCTTTTTTAATACTTATTATGACAGAATTTAAGGACTCTGCTCCATTTCCCTCCACGATGACACTTTTATCCTTAGAGGGGCTACAGCCATCTTCCTTTGTATCATAAAACTTTGTCTCCATTTGTTCTGTCTTAAAATTTGGAGTTACCTTTTCATCACAAACTTCTCCATTTACCAGCTGTTTCCCTTCATGACCCAAAGCAGTGATTGTAGAGATCCTTTTATAAGTCTCCTCCTCTTGTTTTATTTCATCCTTCAAAAATTCTTTTGTTGGAGTAACTGATTTACACAAAGGTCCTTTGATTGGACTGTCAAAATCATCACTCAGTTTAATTTCTCTTTTTTTTAGTGGTATCTTGGCCTGCTGGTCATTTTTAAGTTTCTCGGTTTCCTCAGTAGACTTCTCAGTAATTTCTTGAGTAGATTTAACATTGCCACCAAACTCCAGCCTCTCGGGCTCCAGCTTCTCCACACCTCCTTTGATATCTTTAGGGTCTGCTTTACATTCCTTCACTTCGACTTTAATGGGTTTGACATTTTCCTTGAAGGCATCACTTTCTTCTTTGAAAATCTTTTTTCCCTCACTTTCCAGCAAAGGTTTTTCTAACTTTACTATAACTGGCATTTTCACAAGTTCCTTTTCATCTTCTTTTTCTATTTTCACAGGCGTTTCTTCCAGAGCATTGGGTATAGAACAGTTTTCTGAATCTACTGGCTTCTCTTCACTTTTCTTCTTTTCATTTTCTTTCTGTTCCTCTAAAAATCAGAAAAAGTTTACATGAATCCAAGCAATCAATATATATAAAATATAAAAAGCTTAACATATATTTCCATTTGAAGTTTCTCTCATAAAAGAGGTAACTTTTGTCACTGGACATTTAACAATAAAAAATAAAATGTGACTAAAGAAAATTACTCTAAAGTATAACCTCTAGATATTAAAAAACTATTATTTAGAATGACTCAGATTTCTGCTTTATATTTTAGCTTCAGTGGTCTCAATGGAATGCAAATATTTATACAGCTCAAATAATTTATATAAGCTCAAAATATGGCTCAAAAATATGAAACTAAAAATATTATATGAAACATTTCCAAAAAACTGTATTTGTTTGAAGAACTGACGATTGTTCTTTGTAAGTCATTGAGCACTTCCTTTCATTGAGGCACCATGAGAATGGCAGTGGGAAAATTTGTTTTATGTTTTATTCAGATTATAAAATTAACATAATTCTGTACAGAAAATGAAAAACAGAGGGAAAAAATGCCCATAATCCTAATACCCACAATCATTACTAATATTTTAAGTTACTTCCTTCTAGTCTTGTATATTTTTGACAAAGTTATGATCATGTTACCATTTTTTTTCATTGAAACATTAGTACTTTCTTATATTAAATGCTTTACCCAAAAATTACACTTAATCATATAACACTCCCTAATGTGGTTTTATTATAATTTACTTTATTAAATGCTATTAACATTCCAGGAGTTAATATTTTACAAATAAACTATTAGGTTTATGTGTCAATTCTTTTTGTTGTTGTTGTTAATCCTCACCCAAGGATATTTTTTCCATTGCTTTTCAGAGAGTGGAAGAGGGGGAGAGAGGGGGAGAAAGAGAGAAACATGTATGTGAGAGAGACACATCAATTGGTTGCCTCCCACACGCACCCCGACGGGGGCGGGTGTAGCAAACCCACAATCCAGGTATGTGCCTTTGACCAGGAATCAAACCTGCGTCCCTTTAGTATGCAGTTCAATCCTGTAACCACTAAGCAATACTGGCCAGGGTTGTTTACTTTATTGATTACATATGTCCAACTTTTACAGAGTACCTAATATTGCAAATTTAAACAAAAGCCATATTTAATAAGTGGCATAATCTATATATGAGATTATAAGATTGCATATATGCTTGTGCTCAGACAATCTGAGCAGTGTTTTCTAGAATTCTAAATTTACTTACATTTGCGTAGAACCTCACCCTATCCTGCCAACTGAAAAACCTCAATTCTAAATGAAGTTTACCAAGATAGTAAGAGTTACAAAAAATTTGAATGGATTCTCGCAAGTTGATAAACCACAGTTATAATGTGTTTCATGGCAATAAAATGGAATGGATAGAAGTGAGATGAAGTAGGAAATATTTTATACAGTGGTTGGCGCAGCGAACGTCACAGTGAATGCCACAACATCAGTCCAGCATTCAATTCATTGTAATGGTGAAAATTGATTTGACATACGAGTAATCTGAGTTACGAGCTCCGTCACGGAACGAATTAAACTCGTAAGTCAAGGCCCCACTGTACAAGAATTCACTATTTTTTAAAAAAGTGAAATTTTATTGTAAACTATTTCTTTTATGCTTAATCATGCTACAAATAAAAATTAAAAAACCACTAGGAACCATTTAGACCCTGAGATATAATATAAGTATTGTTCCTCCCTCTTTACATTGTTAGTGATTTAATTTATACAATGCTGCTAATAAAATTAAAGACATCACAGTAATTACCTAATTGATATGTCATCCCTTTCCCACTGATAAAGTAGGTTTGCTAAATTCCTGTTCATTGAGATTGGTTAGCATATCAGCAAATCTAATTAAAAGAACTACATGGTTAACAATTAAGATATAGAATACCATATTTAAAAATAACTCCAGCCTAATACTAAGAGTTTACTGAACACAATTTAATATTTCTTCTATATGTTTTGGTTCAGAAAGCAACTCAGGATTTCATTATGACTCTCACCCAATAGGTAAAATGACAGTATGACCATACTGCACTGTAAGTCTGTAATATGATAAATATCATTACAATAGCAACCATATTATAATATATATGTGTGTGTCAAAGTAACATGGTGTACACCTAAAATTTACAGTTACATTTCAAATTTGTATTTTAAAAAAGGAATAAAAGTCACACCTCTATTTTTTTCTTTAATCCTCACCCAAGAATCTGCTGAGAGAGAGAGAGAGAGAAACATCAAAGTGAGAGAGAAACACTGATGGGTTGTCTTCCATATGCTCCCTGACCAGTGATCAAAACCGCAACCCAGGTATGTGCCCTGACTGGGAATCGAACTGGCAACCTTTTGGTGCATGGGAAGATGCTCAACCAACTGAGCCACTCCAGCCAGGCAAAATGACACCTATATTTTTACTTGGAAGAGGTGAATGAAAATTTCTCTTCAGTTTTTTAAACTGATTTTGATTTGAGTGACAACATGGCAAAATAAAATGAGGAGTAACATTAGATTCAAGACTCCTGGGTTCACTAATCTTAATTCAGCTAGTGGTGTATCTTTGGACACGTCACAAACTCTTTGGTCTTCATTTCTTCATCTACAAATAAAGCAGCTGGACTAAGTTACCTTCACTAACTCACATTTCTCTTAATTAAAAAATGTTAAATCCTTGGTATTTTTACGTTTGGCTCAGTTCTTTTAAGAGAAAAACATGACAATAATTACTACTCTACAACTACAATTACCTTCATAGACGTGTCCCTGAAACTGTATAATGAACAGGAGAACCATAAGAGAAATGAACCTTTAAAGAACAATCATAAATGGTAAAAAGGGCATTCAGTCATACAAGCATTTCCCCAAAGTTTTGTCAAAAGAAACTATAAAAGAGATGCAAATGAGTTTAAGAGACATGAAATTTGAAGTGACAAAACTCAAGGAAAAATAAACTTCAAAACTCACAATGCAGCAACAACAGTGCTTGACAAACCTGAGATGAATCAAGAGAAGTGTTATGTACTACAGATTTTTAAAGCCAATTCATTCATTTACTGAACAAATATTTACTGATCACTTATTATGTGCTTTCCAAACCATCCCAACCAGAATCACTGTGTAACGAAACACTGAATGCTCTATATAAGTTAACAGTGAAGGACATTGCTAGTTACCTATCCAGTGTCTATCCCCAACTCTGATTTTGTTCATGTATTAGTTTCCGCCCATCTAAGATGTTCCAGGTTCATCCTATTTTTTATATGCCCTTCCTCTGAATCAGTCTTGTCTCTTAGGATTGCTGGTTCCCTTTATTGGAAAATGATATCCTATCTAATAATAGACAAACATGGTAATTAACCATGCCTCCGCTACGCTTCCCATTGGCTAATCAGCAGGATATGCAAATTAACTGCCAACCAAGATGGCGGCCGGCAGCCAGACAGCTGAAGCGAATAGGAGGCTTGCTTGCTCCAGTGATGGAGGAAGCCAAGGTTCCCCGCCTGCCGTGGCTGGGCTCTGAGCTCCAGTCTAAGCAACAATGTTGCAATTATAGAAGCTAAACAAACCCCAGATACCTGCTTTCAGCCAGCCGGCCTCAGAGCTGGAGCCGCAACAAAGTTTCAATTACAGAAGGTAAATAAATCCCAGGAAAAAAAGAAAAAGAAAAAAAGGAGAGACTGGGAGCTTCAGTTGCAGGCTTGGCCCGCCTGAAAACAGCCCTCAGCCCCTCATTCAGGCTTGCCAGGCACCCCAGTGGGAACCCCCACCCTCATGGGGGTGCGGGCAGCCTGAAAGCAGCTATCAGCCCCTCATCCAGGCTGGCTAGGCACCCCAGTGGGGACCGCCACCATGAAGGGGGTACAGGCAGCCTGAAAACAGCCATCAGCC